ATATATATATCGGTTCACTTGTACAGATAGTAACATACTTGAACATAGATGGATACATTCATAACAACCACCTCAGACATACCCCATATAGGTGTATTATATATCACATACATCAATGAATACAGACATACTCGCATATACATTCACATAATATACCCATATAGGGCTATCCCTTATCACTTACATCAATGGCCTTAGTATACTGTTTCCAGGATAGGATGATCTCCGGTGCTCGGTACCATCGCGTTGCCACGTACTGAGTTATAAACGCCTCGTGTTTGGCTGTTGGGTCGTACACTCGCGCAAGCCCAAAGTCACAGATCTTCAGATCGCAACTACAGCGCACAGAAAGAAAGAAAGCAAGAGCACGGGAAGAAGGATGAGCAAGGTCAGGACAAATGGGAAACACCCGAACGCAGCGCTATATTTGTGGTCCAATGAGGTGTGAGATATGATGGTTGATGAGCAAATCAGCGTACAAGGAGCCTTTTTGATCGGCTGTTGGGTCGTACATTCGCGCGAGTGCGAAGTCGCAGGCCTTCAGATCGCAACAGTGCAGCACAAACGTGGTAATAGAAAGGTAGTATTCGAATTGGAATGGCCAGAAAAGCATATAAAACAAACAGGAGCATGCTTCGCATACAAACCTACATATACACTAAAACAAACAGAAGCATACTGCACATACAAACCTACATATACACTAAAACAAACAGGAGCATACTTCACATACAAACCTACATATACACTAAAACAAACAGGAGCTTACTTTCCGTTCAGCAACAGGTTGCTTGGCTTCAGATCGCGATGCAACACCCCAGCCGAGTGGATGTACTTCAAGCCCCGCAGAATCTGGTACAGAAAGTACTGGACGTGTTCGTCTGTGAGCGGTTGTGAGGAGGCGATGATCTGGTGTAGGTCGGTCTCCATGAGATCGTTGACAATGTACACGTCTTGAAAGCCTTCTCCGTCGTATTCGATGGGTTTGAAGATGTCTTCGATGTTAATGATCTGCGGATGAGGGTACGGTAGCACGGGATGAGATGCGCTGGTCAGAGACGAGTATATGTATGTAAATATATGGGATATGTATATGTAGATATTTGAGGTATGTTTGAGATATATGAGGTATATTTGAGTAGATATATGATATCTGAGTAGATATATGAGGTATGCTTGAGTAGATTTATGAGGTATGTTTGTGTAGATATATGAGGTATGTTTGAGTAGAAATAAGAGATATGTTTAATAGGCATATGCGGATGTATATACACAAGGACAATACTTATGCACACAATTTAGGAGAATAGATACGCAGCTCACACGGCATGAAGCCCATTTAGATGAAGTCAAGGAATACGAATTTTGATCTATTTTGCCACTCATACCCATACAGCAGTACATATACACATACATAGATATGTACATCAGGATAGGTACACAACTCACACCCACCGTATGAAGAATAGATAGATGGAGAGAGGTAAGAACGACCGATGAGGATGTGTGTGGCTTTTGACAGTTCGGTACATATTGAATACACATCTGAGCAAACAGTATTCAACACACCTATAGAGATATAATGCATCAGGCTACATTTCTATAGCTCATATATATATATATATACACGTGTGTTTTTGTATGTGGGAC